TGTAGTTGTAATGCATCATTTATTGATATCAAGTCCACAAATTGAAATGTGATATTGCCTTTTATTTCACATACAAGTCATCCTATTACATAAACATAATAATCTAGGTGTAGCCTTGATATCATAAGATTGAATGGATATCAAAACAGATTTAATGTCCTATTAATCTCATAATTTGGCAGAGTTAACTCAATTTTGCTTCATATATTGTAAAACTAGAATCTCAAGGACCTCCAAACTAGATGGCACTTTTTTATTAATTTTCATACTTTAAAGAGTTGAATTTATCAAAAACTGAAGTTTGCTTCAAAAGGGGAATAATTGGAGGCTCAATAATACCCGAACTAAATGGGATTTTTTTGTTAATCTCATACTTTCAAGAATTATATTTATTAGATATTAAAACTTACTTTAAGGGAGGAATAATTAGAGGTTCAATGACTCCCAGACCAAATATGGCTTTTCCATTAATTTTATATTTTAAAGAGTTGTAACTGTCATGACATCAGACATGAGTTGGTGGAGACTTATTTCCTATTGGATTTGGATCAGAAGGTACATTATGCTTTCTGGAAACGAAGCCATAAGAAGCTCAAAAATGATATGGCAAAGACAAAACGAAAACCAAATTCTTTTGTGTTGCCCGTGTTTATGTTTCCTTTGGTTATCTAAAAAATACATGTACAACCCAAAATGTAAAGCTATATATAAGTTAGGAAAAAATGTACAATATTCATCACAAATTTAATTTAGAAGTAAAATATAATGATTTTATGAAATTTATCATTTAAAAAATAATATATGAATCAATAAATTATTGATTTATAAAAGTTATATTTTCCTTAACATATATTTACAAAAAGTTAACATTTAATGCTTAAGATTTTTGTTATATGACCAGATACTTTCGTAATTATTACACAATATCTAACGAATTACAAGAAATAATTATTTAAAAAAGAAACAGTAAGACAAGAAAGGAAAAAAAAAAAGAAGAGAAAATTTCACTTAGGACCCTTGATCAAACATAATAAAAAAGAAAGTCCTTGAATTTTTTAAACTCACTGCAAGTTTAGGCATTCAATTGAAATTAGAATTCAATGAGAAATGACAAGATTGTCCTTGCCCCTCTAAAAGTAATTCAATTGAAACAGAGCATTCTCTTGCTTTGAAGAGTTGCCGATTTGAGTGACAGCACCATTGTTGCTTCAGACAAGCCTTGCAAGTCACCAATTTGATAACAAAGCTCCTAGTCCAAGAACAAGATCCAAAAGAATAAGAGCGACCACTTCGTCTTTATGCTTTTCCCATCATTCCTCTTCTATTTTAGTCTATAATGGAAGATTCTGAGGAGCATGATAAAGCACAAGGGAAGAAGAATTGAAGTAAAATTTCACTGGACCATAGATTAAATTTTTTTCCCCCACTAAATCTATTTAAATCACTTGTTTATCACCTTAGTGTGTGTGGTTCATTACCCTACAGATTGTTGTTAATTTCTCTATCTTACTTCTTTGTTAGAACATTGACTTGAAAGAATTTTAAATGTTGGTTTAGAACATGCCCATACATATAGGGTTTCATATTTGAATGACTTGTTTGTCACTTTAGTGTGTGTGGTTCATCACCCTATAGACATGTGTTAGTTTCCTTATCACACTTGTTCATTATAACACTTACTTGAAAGAATTTCAAGTGTTAGTTTCATACTAGTAGGATTTCAAGTTTGAATAACTTGCTTGTCACCCTAATGTATGTGGTTCATTTCCTTATGATAGTTGTTAATTTTTCTACCGCACTTGTTCGTTACAACATTGATTTGAAAGAATTTTAAATGTTAGTTTCATATTAGTAAAACATGCTTATACTAGTAGAATTTCATGTTTGAATGACTTGTTTATTACTTTAGTTTGTGTGATTCATTACCCTACGACAATTGTTGTTTTTCCCACTGAACTTGTTCATTACAACACCAACTTGACAGAATTTTAAGTGTTGGTTTTATATTGGTAGAACATGTTTATACCGATAGAATTGTAAGTTTGAATGACTTGTTTATCACTTTAGTGTGTGTGGTTCATTATCCTACTGACAACTGGTAATTTCCCTGTTGCACTTGTTCATTACAACACTAGTTTAAAAGAATTCTAAATGTTAGTTTCATACCAATAGAACATGCTCATACTAGTAGGGTGCCAAAGAGGCAAGGACAATATTGTCATTTCTCACTAAATTTTAATTTCAATTCAATACCCTAGACTTGCAATAAGATTTCAAAAATTTGGGGTTTTTTTTTATTATTATGTTTGATCAAGGGGTTTTTAGTGAAATTTTTTTAAAAAGAATCTTTCTAGAACAAAAAGGGGGAAAGATAATTCACATATGAGAATCCAAATCCTTGTGGATTTCCGAAATCTAAACGTAATGTCTTAATAATATGAAATATGACTATATGAATCCGCAAAATATCAAGCAAGTTAAAAGAAACAATAGTTAAAAAGAGACATGGCGTAACAAACATGAAGAGAAGTTTTTTTTTTTTTTTTTTGGGCCAAGGAAAGAAAGGTTACGACTCGTAATAAATAAAAAATGGAGAGAATATGAATAAAAAAAATTAAGATAAGTAAATGAACAAACTTTCTCTTAAATTATAAGTCTAAAAATATTTAGGATTCTAAACTCATTTCTTATGTAATATTTTTCTTTAACTTTTAAAAACTGTACAATTTTACTTGTATCATTAATAAAAATTAACTTTGACTAGTAGTTGACCTTAAAATGACATAAAAAATTACTGAAAAGACCAAGAAAATTTTCTTGATATTTTCTTATATATTTTTAGATCATTGTCTATAATTTTTAGGGCCATTATTGTAATTTTTGATGTTCTTTTCTATTAATCAAAGGTAACTCTTGCTAACGGTAGGAGTTAGATTATGCCATTTTCAAAAATTAAACAAGAATGTTGCATAAAAGATGAGTTTAGGATTTCAAATGTTTCTGGATCTATAATTTAAAGACCAATTTGCTCACTTATTTCTTTTTTTTAATTGACTTAGCGCATCATTTTGAGTCATCGTTGATCTCCAGTTGAGTCACACAAATCCAGTTGAAGCAACAAGTCTATTTAAAAAGTAGGTCTCTTAAATAGGCTTATATATGAGTCTTTATATTTATCAAAGCCTACATATATTATATATTGATATAATTTATAATTTACAGTTTATATAATAATATACACCCTCAAGTCGCTTTTATAATTCACATTCTAGAAGGTCTATTTAATTTTATTTATAAGTCACCGTGTGACTTTTTAGGTAATATTTAAAAGGTATTTTTAAAATTACCCTTCATGAGAGAAAAAAATTAATATGACATCTCCTTTTAAATTTGTTATATAAGTAAATTTGTTATATAAGGACGTAATTGAAATTTTATGCACTTTTATTCTGTTTATTTTTTTTTTTTGCATCGTTTTGAGTCATCCTTGATCTCCAACTGGGTCGCACAAACCTAGTTGACGCAACAAGTCTATTTAGAAAGTAGACCTCTTAAATAGGCTTACATGTGAGGCTTTAGACTTATCAATGCCTACATATATTATATATTAATATAATTTATAATTTACGATTTATATAATAATATACACCCTCAAGTCGCATTTATAATTCATATTCTAAAAGGTCTATTTGATTTCATTTATAAGTCACGGTGTGACTCTTTTGGTAATATTTAAAAGGTATTTTTAAAATTATCCTTCATGAGAAAAAAAAAAGTAACAAGACATCTCCTTTTAAATTTGTTATATAAGGACATAATTGTTTTGAGTATTGATAAGATTGGGAGAAATAACTTATAAAGAGGACTAGAGGAGTATTTCATAAATATTATATATATTTATCTAAATTGGTAGGTCTTACGAAAATAGGCCTGGTATATTTATCTAAATAGACCTTATAAATAAACCTTCCAAAAAGCCTAAACTTAGTTGGCCTATTTATTAAATAGGCTAGGCCACGTTGAAAGTAGACCAAGCTATAAATTTTTGATAACCCATTGAACCTATTTTCACCTCTACAACCTATCAATTGAACATTTAGTCATAGACATTACTAAGTTTCCAACCATGTCCTACTCAGTCAATTTCTCACTTCAAACTTGTTACTTGATATCCACTATGTAAGAAATGGAAAAATAAGTAATGAATCTTGCATAAACATTTTCTTGTTCCTTTTTTTGGGACAAAAATTATTTGATATCCATTACTAATTGATAAATTTGAGCTTTGTTAGAAAATAATAACAAAATTTTACATTAGCAATCAAGGGCCTAATTTTAGCCTTTTTCTTTATTTAGGCTAAAAATATAGCGTGATTTATACAGCTGGTAATAAAATAAAACTTGTTATTGTTAGTCCTAACAAGGGATTCCTTTTCTAATATGATTTTCTTTTACATTAAGGTCTAAACCCTCAACCCTTATCCACATTTACTTAATTTTACTCGTTTGAATTACTTCATCAGTTAAATGCAGTATTAGGGGGAGTATTACTTGATGTGTTTGTATTACTTGTTGGTTTTTCCTTACTTTTCAGTGTTTGACACGCTCCGAAAAACACTACTCTAGGGAATATTGGCTTTGTAATATAGGATCTATCAACTATGCTAACCAAAACCAGTCCAAAAGCCAGTGCAGCTCCAAATAAAGCACTCAGTCTTGTACAAAGCATTTAGCCTTGAATTAGAAAGGCATGGATAAAGAAGAAACGCCTTTTTCCGTACTATAGAAACGTGTTTAATGGAGCTTTTGATAAGAGGAGAAGTTGGCGTATATGGAGTGTTCTTCAAAGACAAAATCAATAATATTTTATGTCCTTTGGATTTTATTAGACCATTTTGGATTAAGAGTTTCTTTTGCTAAGTTCTGCAAAGAATCGCTAAACTTGATCAAAGTCAGGAAAGAAATGCAAGTTGACCAAGATAGTGAGTTATGGACGAATTTGATGTATGGAGTCTGTATCTATACCATCATGTTTGTGAGTTAACATGATTTCTGCATGTAAAAATGCAAACTTGATGAACTCGATAATTCAACTAGTGATTTTGACAAACTTGTTCTTTTAGCAAAACAGCTTAGATATTCTAAGCAAGGCAAATCACCCAAAATAAGAACCCTATATGGCTCTATTAAAAGCACGTATGTACTCGACTTTCTGAAAACTAAAGAGATGCTATATGAGGCCTACCCTCATGTGTCTTTTTGACATTCATTGCATTCACTACAATTCGTTACTTCAATTAGTGCATAAGGATCCGCAGTAGCAACAATCTTTTCCAATACTTCATGTCTACTATCAAGCTTTCCAAAAACCACGAGAAACCTAGAAAAGATTTCACATAATAGGATTAGTAAATTATAAACTTCTTCAACTGCAATGCTTGCACAAAACACCCTAGCCGCTCAAGAGAAGGAAAAAAGGGCAGAAACACAGTGCTAAATACCTACAAGAGTTAAAACATACAAACAAACCTGTCAAGTATCGGATCATCCCTCAACTTGATCGTGAAATGAGAACCAAGGCTATAACGATCACGAATGTCAACGCACAGAATTCCTCCTCCAGAAAGTTTAACTGCAGATTTCTCATCTGAAATAAATCACATCATTGTAAATACCTTATTATCAAAATAAAGAGACATTTTGAGCTATGTCGGTAAGACAACAAAATATTTTGAATTTTTGCATTCTACATGGTGAGAACTTAAAAGCATGAATGGCATTCTCACTTGGGAGATTTGCACCATAAATACTTTGTCCATGTACGGCTGCGAAGATTTCAAAACAAGAGATGCAGAGGCATAAGATTAGACATTATATCAATGGGCAAAAGAAAATGAAATTTATAGAAAATTGAGCATTGGACTAGATGAAACTTATACTTGAAATTAACATTGTGACAGAATGCAATGCAAAAATGATTTTAAATACTAACTCCAGAATTGATATTCAACTTCCAAACATGATGCACAAAGTGTGAGCCTAATGGATTAAACTTTCAAACAATGAAGAAAATGAAAGAACATAAGAAAGACAAACTGAATACAAAACAGACCTATTAAATAAGTAAAATGATATTTTATATCAGTTGAAGATTTACATATACACCGGCACACACACACGCATAAATATCAACCGCAGAAACTGGTTAAGCTTGGACATTTTAAACAGATACACTATGTAACCACAAATACCACATCTTATGTGTTTAATTGGGAAAAAATGATCCTATTAAAAATCCCAATTGTTAGTCTTAATCCAATCCTACTATTCTGCGACTCAAATTGAATTCGAGGATAAGAGGACACAATGTCAAAGATAAATTATATAATAAGATTCATTATTTACAACCAATGAACATTATAACTCATTCTTCCATTTCCATGCAACGCAAAATAAAACAAACGAATCTGTTTTTATTTAATTAGTAATAGTAATTGCTTGTAAGTTACAGTAACTGCTTCATGTGATGACCCAAGATGATATGACCAAAAACATGAGATGGACAACTTCAAAAACATGAATGCGGCCATATGTATTGTATCAAATTACAAACATTGAAAACTAGAGAAGTGTGTCATCCTAATTCCAATGCAGCAATATAAAACATACCGTATGAATGGCAGAAATCACCCCCTGCAAGATGAAAACTAGCTATCAATACACAGTTAAGGTACCACAATGCATACAAAAATAGGTTTGGACACTATGAAACTTGTTAGCATTATAAGATGGACAACTCAGTATGTACAAGCTTAAAACTACATCACAAGAAAAGCACTCATGACCATCAACATTCAACAGTGCAACCTACAACATAAACAAGCATAATTGACTAAAAGAAGGGACCACAACTGAGCCACGTTCATCTTCAACCACAACAGGATGGATAGATCTACAATACAGAAGAATGACCTTGGATGTAACAAGAGTTAAAAAAAAAAAATGAACTCACCACCTTCACATAGGAGCCGCCTTTCCCAAAGTGATAAAAGGTAGAATCCTTGTAATGTAGGGGAAAACAAATACAACCTTGCTCCCGAGTTCCCTTTTCTCCTGAACAAAGAGGAAAACTAAATGAGAAATGGGAAACCTATAGCATAAGCTATAAAATCTAAATAAATTAACATGTCAAAGGGATTGTTCAATCAATCAGATAGTAATCGTAGCACAATAGGGTTTAACTAGGGGGAAAAAGCCATCAAATTATTACCAGTGCATAGCGCACAGAAATTTTCTACGGAGGCAGGGGCGTCATCTTTGAATAGCTGGGAGGACAAAAGAACTCATTAAGTTGCATTCCAATTCTCCTCGAAATCAAAGTTGCAAAATCCACAAAAATAAAAACTTGATCAAACGGTCATTGTTGTTTAAAATTAAAAGTATTGAAAAAAAGGGTATACCTCAAAAACCATCTTTCCTACAGGAAAAAAGATCTATAGAAACTTCCATAAAAACGAAGGGATTCTTCTTCTTTTCCATTCCCTTTCTTTTACCAGTCACGACCCTGGTTTTAAATACAAAATTCTTGCTTACGACACAAATCGTTGTTTATTACACAAATGAGCCCAGAGCAGTAATTTTTGTCAAACTACTCCTCAGCTCACCTGCAGCACTCAGTACGGTAGGATCCAAGACTCTCTTATATTGAAAGTGCTCCTCCACTCTCTTCTTTGGCTGTTCGATGCGGGACTTAGGTACAGGAACAGTAATACTAATTTGCATGCAATAGAATGCATTTTTTATGGTTAATGTTTATTGATTATTTTACTTAATTCTTAAATTATTTTTATAATATAAATAACCCTTTCATTTGAAAATATAAAACATTTTTTGCAAATTTAAATGTTAAAAAAGTGAGACATTTTTAATCTTTCAAGATACAATCTTTATTTTTTTTTAAAGTATTCTTATTAATAATAACTTTATATTTATTGTAAAGTATTTAATAAGAGTAAATATAAAAAATTGTGGCTCGTTTAGAAGAAGATAACTATTTTATTAAATGGTGAGATTTGATTAAAAAGTACATTATCTACTTTTTGAAAAGTTCTACCCCGCCTCCTTACCTTTCCAATATCATCCAATCGCCATCAAGGCATAAGATAGATTAATATAAAAAATAAATCCTGCAGGTTATCTGTCACAATCTAAAATGCAAAGCAAGTAGAATAACACACAAGTTGGAGATAAAACTCCTGTATTATTCAGGGGACCAACTATTCAAGGGACAAGTTCAGACAGTGTCGAGAAAACAACTGAGAGAGAGAAAGTTACAGAGAAAGAGAGAAATAACACAAGGCAATCCACATTTTCCATAACCACCCACTCCTGGCGTGTAGCTTTTATAACTCTCCTCTATCTGCGGTGAGCCTCTCGTAACTTTCACGTGAACCTTCTAGTGCGAGAACTCCTGCGCGTTCTGTCCCTCAACGCCAGCTGGCTTTCCCACTTGAACCTCCAGAGCCTTCGTGGAGTCCAAAGTCACTAACTGGACACGTGTACGTCTCATTCTCCTATTCATATCAGTATATTTAGATTTTGAACAATGCATGACCTTCATCAAATTTTTTATTAGAAAATTTAAACCCAAATTCCTCGCCTTTCGACGTTTCCCTGCAGAAGATGGATCGAAGGATGGGCATGATCCACTTGGCCCTTGAGATTTCCTTGAAGAACCTTGTGAGTACCTGAATGATTTAGGGTAGAGAGCCACCATCATATAGAGAGGACCTGACGCCACACCATCCAAATACCAAGGCCTATGACTAGCTGCAAAAAATGTTTTCTATGAGCTTAAAGAAAATTGTCATTCTTAATAAAATTAAGAATCAAAATAAACTACGGTCAGATACACCACAACTGGTGATTTGAACTGATGTTATGGGAGTCCATAATCCAAAACATCCTGTAGCGCATCAAGCCCATCCACAACCTCGCCAAAAATGACGCGAGAGCTGCCAAAAGATTCCAAATAACAGGATTAGCATATTATGTACTTTTACAAATGCAATGTTTGAAGGCCGAGCATTTTATAATGACACCCTAGCTGGTCAAGTGGAAAAACCAAAGCAAAACAAGAGTTAACAATACAAAAGAACCTATCAAGGCTGTGATCAGCTCCCGATGTTATTACAAAATGAGACCCACGATCATTACAGTCTCTTCTATCCATTGATAGTAACCCTTCCCTATCATGCTTACACTCATTTTCCTCAACTGAAATAAATCACAACAATGTAGAAACCTTGTTCATCAAAATACATAGACAGACATTTTGATAACTCTTTAAAAGTATGATCCAGCATTCTCACCTGGGAAATATGGGCCATAAATGCGCTCTCCACCTTTCCCTGCAAGACTATCAAAAATGAGATGCAGAGATGTAAGAGTAGACATTAATTATACAAAGGAGAAGAAATGATTGGTACCTTCGGAAAATTATAGCAAATTGGACATCAGACCAGATGAAACTTACAATTGTACTCAACAATGCAAGTATTAAGAACCTAACAATACTCGATCAACATGATAAAATGTTGAGAGGATCATGCAAATAATAATTCATATTAAGTAAAACAGTATTTTACATGAATTGAAAAATTATACGTACAATGTAGAGACTAGTTAAACTTACAATTTCCAAACAAATACACTATTTATCCACTCGTTTAGAAATACATCTTAGGGGACAACATTTTTGTTGCAATTATTGTGTGAGTGTGTCAAAGATAAATTTCCATTGACCACATGAGAGGAGAGGTTTCAGCAATTTTTGTGAAATATATTTGACAAAAATCAAAAATATTTATTTAAAAGAGTTTTTCAGAAAAGCCTTTATTTACTTGTTTAAATTTAAATTTAAATAATAAACTTGTTTTCTTAATTACCTTGGCAGAAAATGTTAGTCCCTCCTTAACTTCTAATTATCACATTTGAATATGTTAATCATCTCATTTGCAACATCTAGTCTTAATGTTTTATTATATTCAAACTGTGGTTTTATTTGGCATTAATTGCACCTTATATTTCTTAATGGTTGAAACTGATTTTCTTTGGTTGAAAAGGTGGCTTTATCCTTTTTTAATATTTTAATGATCAACTGAAGTCTTCTCCTCTAACGTCCAAAAATGTCATTCATCAATGACATTTTATTGTGTCAAAATAGTGAAATAAAGCAATGAGATGATGATAATTTATTTATTTAATAATGGTGTCGGTGAAAAGATATTTTATTATGAAGTGATGGTGATTCATTTTAGCAACAGTGCTTCAAATGTTTTTGTTCAATGCGTGGCTATATATATAGCAAAGTGTGTGCATGAGATTGATGCTAAGCATTTTTGAGTTTTTGGGCACTTCTCTTCCTCTCATGTGTCTTGCTTTCTGAGTTTAATTTTTCCTTTGAATTATCTTTACTATTCTGTCACCCTATTCAATTTTACGGGAGGGTTTCACTTAATTTTGAAAAACTCTAACAATTGTGCCGAAATTGCTCTTAAAGACAATTTTCTTGGGCACGACTTAGAACAAATTTTACATTGCTAACGCCAACAATTTTTAACTGGGGAAAAAAGATCCAATTAAAATCTTCAAGTGCTAGTCTTAATTAATTCTTACTGCATAGGAACCCCAATGATTTGAAGACAGGAGATACAAAATTTACTTGAAAGCAATACATCAATATCTAATATAAAATATAGATAACAAGACGCATCATTCACAGGCAACGAACATCATGGCTCACTGAATGAATACCGTGCTATGCACCAAAAAATGAATCTACTTTTATTTACTTAGTAATTAGTAATAATTAGAAAAAACAATAATAACTGAATCGATTGAAATTGACTAAACGTATTGTATCAAATAACAAACTTCGAAAAGTAGTCAAGTGTGTCATCCTAAGGTCAATGCATGGATAGACATCTTACCAATTTGAGACAAAGCACCTCCCTGCAAAGGAAAAGTGGCTACCAGTCCCTAGTCTTGATGCCACATTGCATAAAAAACGGTTTTGTACATAAAAAGCCTGTTTAGTATTGTAAGATGGACAACTAAGTAAGTAAAAGCCTAAAACTATATCAGCACACACCTTAACATGGGATAGGCTATTAACCTTGTAAAGGTAACACTACAGGTAAGACAAAAGCTTCCCGGTTTTGAGACTTACTCCCATTTCACCTGAACAAAAGAGAAGTCTAAATAGGAAACGGGGAAGCCATATCATGCATAAACCATAAATTCTAACTTAAATTAGCATATCTAGGGCCTTGTTCAACTAGTGAAACTGCAATTCCAGTACAGGAGGGTTCTATATAAAAGAAATGAGATCAAATAATTACTTGTACATAGCGCATGGAAATTTGACACGGTGTAGGGGGCTTTGTCATGGAATAGCTGGAAGTACGAAAGAATTCATTAGGTTGCACTTCTACATTCACGGTCGAAGTTGCAAAATTCAATAGTATTGAAAACAAAAGGGTACTTTAAAAACCATCCTTTTGTAGAGCCTCCATTTACAGATATCCATGTAAAGAAGGGGTGCGGGATCCTCCTCCGCCATTGTCTTTCTTTTGTGAATTAGAACTCAAGCCAACAAAACCACTAAAGTCACAAAAGTCAATCATGATAGGCCAATTAATTACTAATATTATGAAATAATAAATAATGCATCAGAAGCAGACACTGATACTGGCACTGTGCCATTTTTTTTCCAACAAGAAATTAAAATAATCAAAATCAAAATTTGCAAGTCAAATTTTTAAAGGCAAAAGAACATGATAAAGTCATAAAACCAAACATATATATAATCTCAGAAAAAAAAGAGTCGGGATACATATGCAAATGCAAGATAAGTAAAAATCAAAATGGGGGAGAAAACCAATTCTGAGATAGAAACATAGATTGTATCAGTTTTATAGACTAGTAAAAACATAACTGAAAGGAAAGCGTTAAAAATACAAATTAAATTAGTCAAATCTCATTTAAAGAATAAGAGAAAGCAGCTGAGAACTGATATTGGATAAATATCATGGATAATACTTGAATCAAAGAAACATCAGATAAAATGCATCAGATTATAACTTTTAAGAAGCAAATTTACTGGTCAATAAGCTAACATGTGCAAAGCTTACAGCAAATACTGAGATGAGCAATTCATGCAAAGAACTAAATAAATACAACACAAACCAAACAAGTGTTGGGGTTTTAGATGTATCATGAGTCTTTCTGATGTAAGAAGAAACGGCCAGAAAATTTCTCGAAAAGCAATTCAAAAAACTTGAAATAGCTCATGATTTTTAATCAATAAACATGCATAGAAAACAGAGAAACAACATACCAACCCAATTAAAACAAAAAATCAAATGAATATCGGGCCAAATCAAAGGACAAGCTGAAGGAATTGTGATAAGAAGCAACCAAAGATGAAGGGGGCAAACCTAGGATGAATCATAAGGAGCATGAAAGGCAACATAGGGCACCCAATATTACCTTGGAACGATGCGGAATGGGGCGACAGCAAACGTGATCACAGGTCTGGGCGACACGAGGATGGGCACGGATTTGGGCGACGCGAAGATAATAAATTCAGAAGCAGTATATTATTCTGCATGTTGCAATACATACATGTACATGACAGTTTCCTCTTGAATATAATCATATCCCTCTTCTCTTGCTATCTCCACTGACTATCTTTCCACAATATGCCCTTATATGATATTTACTACATAACTAACAGTATCATATAATATATTACATGCAATAAATGATATTTTCCATTATCGCAACGTATCTTTGACGTTCTGCAGTACTCCCCCTCAAAGTGGTGCATGGAGATTCGCAATGCCCAGTTTGCCCATGAGTGCTTTGAGTCTCTCTTTCCCCAACGCCTTCGTCAGCATATATGCCAGTTGGTCTCTTGTCCAGACGTTGCGTGGCATTATCTCTCCCGACTGATATCTTTCTCTCACAAAATAGCAGTCCATCTCTGCGTGCTTGGTTCGCTCGTGGAAGACCGGATTCGTGGCTATGTGAATCGCTGCCTGGTTATCACAATAGAGGGACGTCGCTTTGCTCTGCTGCTCCTGCAGTTCTTTGAGCAACCAACGAAGCCACAAAACTTCACTAACTGTGCAAGCCATCGCCCTATACTCTGGCTCAGCTGATGATTTGGCCACAACGTTCTGCTTTTTGGTCCTCCACGGCATAGGTGAGCCTCCAAGTGATATGAAATATCCACTACTTGATCGTCGGGTTAGAGGGCAGCCTCCCCAGTCCGCGTCGCAATATGCCTCAAGTTCCAGATTTCCTTCTGATCTGAGCAAAATGCCTTGACCTGGAGTGCACTTTAGGTATCGTAACACTCTTTCAACAGCCACCACGTGGGAGTGTTTGGGTTCTGATGTGAACTGGTTTAGGATATTTACCGCATAGACGATGTCTGGGCATGTTACCGTGAGGTATTGGAGTTTCCCTACCAACCTTCTGTATCGTGAAGCATCAACCTTGGTTTCACTTTCATCATTATGTAACTTACAATGCTGCTCCATTGGAAGCGCACTTGGTCTGCAGTTTGCCATATTCGAGCGTGTTTGGATTACTTTCTAACTGAGGTTTGAGAGGCTCCAACCTCAGTTGAGATAAAAAAAAAGCTCATCAGAGCATGTTTGGATAAAAAAAATTTCGGACGAGCGTTTATTGCAGAACGAGCGTTTCTAACGAAGCCAGACGAGGGAGCTTTTTTGATGCATATGGACGTTGGTGGGGCTGGGGGCAGATTCCTCTCTCCAGTCCTTATTATCTCACCTCAGCCGCGGCTTCTTCACTTTAATAAGCACTAGCTGTTAAAGTGATCTAATTATATATAAACTTTTGTCTGCTATTTCCTTTTGGTTTTATTAGTCTGTCATGCTTGGACTTCATATGGCTTTTTTGAGCCTTTTTTGTATTGCGATTTCCTTCTGCTTTCATAATGTTATAGTTTCCATTAAACTGTTACACTCTTTTGTTGTGATTTTTTTAAAATAGGAATGTGAGGTTGTTATTAGATGTACTATTCTAAAGGTAGAGATATACTTGGAACTATGATGGATGCGGCCCGTGTAAGAGCAAACCAAAAAAAAAAAAAAAAAAAAGAACAAGGTGAATGGTATTGCAAGAATTGTAAATAAACCATTCCTATTCTAGAACCAAAGTAATTCTATCTTCTAATACTTTCTTAATTCATTGGTTCCAATAATAGTGTTCTTCTTCGGTTCTTCCTCTAACTCAATTCTTTCACCAAAATGGCTTATGTGTATTCAGATTTAAGGTTCACTACACTGTTTTTGATAGCTCTGGTCATTGCTCTATACTATAGTCTTCTTCAATCGTTCTGCTGTTGAGCTCTTTGAGAC